GTGGCTTGAACGGGGAGCCGCAGTGGAGGCCTGGAATCGCTACTCGTAGCCCTGCAGCATCTCCTCAATCTCCACCTCCCAGTCCTCGTCCAGGGGCACCCCTTCCTCTGCCAGGTCGAAGCCCTGCAGCTCCTTCTGCAGCTCCTGCTCCCACTCCGGGATGTCCCCTGCAGACAGGTGAGACAGACAGGCCCACAGGCGCCACTGCATGAGAAGTCCTTAAGAAACCCAGAGCTGCTACAAGAGGGATTAGTGTCTGTATGAAAGTGTGCATGGTAAGAGAGCTGTATAACATACAGCTGTTATCAGTTCACAGAGTTAAAACCAAGGCTGTGTAATAGTGCAAAGGGAAAGGTATTTCCTCGTTCTGTTCTTTGGATTTACATTAATCAATATGTATCATCTATGTTTGATCATGTGGTCAAAGGAAATGTAGGCCATTCAAGCTTGTTATACATTTCTTAGCACAGGATGGAAAAATATTGAAAACAAAATGCAAAAATCATTAAAACAAATACTGATAGTAAACAATATCAATTGCTTACTGAGACTGTTTCTTATGTGCATGGCTGAATAAACGAGATACGGTATATTGTGATGATGAATATACTGGGATCTTTAAAAACGAAGGTTCATGCTTGATGGAATCACTGAATGGCTCAATGATCTGTTAACATCAGAACGTTTTCTTATGTTCTATTTCGCTAGACCTGATGGAGGGCAAGCCTGAGTAAAGTACTGCATCGAAACGATGAGACACAAAGGTATCTTTACCACTGTCTGTGCCAGTGTGACTGGGCACTGTGCCACCCATGCCAAGCTGCTCCCTGGCCCTGATCACATCCTCCTGGCTGAGGGCTGTAGCTCTGAAAGTGTCACTGATGAATTCTCCATCAGGAGGGCTGGCAGACAGGCTGTCCAGACTGACTGGCTGCTGGAGAGAAATTCAAGATAATATATTTTCATTGCGCCAGGGCCTTAAAAACCCCACCGCCGGCCTCCCTTTCATTCAACACTGCCACTACAGGCAGCTGTGTCTCTGATCAGCCTTACCTCTGGAGCACCGCCTGCCTCCCTAAACGCTGTGGGCACAGGGTGAGGCAGTTCTGAAATAGAAAATACACTTCTGTCATGGGCTGAGTGGATCAGCTCAAGGTTGACGGTTTTCTTAATAGTGTAGTTCATGCTTTCTAAAAACTCATCCAGTGGGATCAATTTGGTGAGGCCACAGACTCCATAACTAGCAAGAGTGCTTCAGTATTTTTACATGGCAGGGTGTTTGCCACTAAAAATTAGCTTAAATGCCACTGGTCTAACTTATTCAGTACTGATTATTAAAAATCATCCATTTTCTATCTGTATGTTTCCTTGCTTAAGCCTATTTAAATACATTAACATTTACTATTAAAGGGAGGTGTGATAAGGGGAAAGCAATCAAGACAATCTAGAAGCATTAACAATAGTAACAAAAAGAAAGACATTCTACATTGTCAACGAGCTTTCTGAACAGTGGTACAAGTCTGATTGTGTAAGTCACAGCCAAGGTGAAGACCCTGAGCACTGTACCTGCGCTGGCCTGGCTGCCTGGGAGCCTCCTAGTCTCCCTGTGCTCCTGGGTCAGGGATGACAGATGTGCTGCCTGCTTGATCAGAGACACACGGTAGAAGTAGTTTCTCCAGAACACCTCTTCCTTCACCCTGCAGAGCCACAGGGAGAGGCAGGGTAAGATTCATAGCAGTCCTGCTTCTTACTACTGTGCAGGTCTTTGGTCTCTCCAACACCCATCATGGAGATGTATTTATTATCATTTAATTCGGCCTTTGACCAGGTTGGTTGTTGCCAAATTCAACCACCGGAAACCCACTTCCCCCGTGGGCCGGTTTTCGGATTTTCGTTCCGGGAAGGGTTTCCACCTTGTTTGCTTGGTTTTTTCGGGGACGAATGTGATTGAGGGGCGGTGAGTTGGCTTCTGAAGAACAGTACTGGTGTGCGTGGGACAGTAGGCAATGGTCTGTGTGTGAGGGACTCACTGTCTAGGCACCAGCTCGAAGCGCATGCTGCTCAACATGCTGTCCTCCCGCAGCGTTGCCATGGCCACCGGGGTGGCCTGGCTGGAGTCAAAGGGGAAGTGAACTCCGGCCGGGGGGTCACGCAGGAAGTTCCTCCGATCCTAGACGGGGAGGAAGACAGGAGAGAGGAGGGCGGAGAAACAATATGGAGACCGAGCGAGAAACATGTCAGGAAAAAGAGCAAAGAGTCTGGCTGCAAGGTAGTCGTATGTTTAAGGATGAACACATGCTCACTAGATAGAAAATTATGATTATTACTTAAACGTACGGCTACACCTGCTAGTGTATCTGAGAACTTACTAGGGACAAAGCCAGGATCTGCTGTTTAACAGTCTCTTCGTCACTGCATCCAGACCAGGGAGGGACGGCAGCCTCTGAAAAAAACCCAGGACCCAGGACTCTTCACAGACACAGGCCTCACTGACATAAGAATCTGCTGTCCTGTAGTCACACACTTCTTCTCCCTGAAATTCATGGCTCGCAAGGAAACTAAAGCTTTTTTCCCCCAAAAATATTTACCCATTTCTAAATTCTAATCCTGAGTAGGAACACGCATCAACATCTAGTCCTACCTGGGTCTGTAAAGCTGTAAAGCCGTGCTTTTCCAATGCTAGAAACGAGCTAGAAGAAGGTAAGTCCTCATGAGACAAACAGGCGGTTCTTGTCCCGGGGTGGCCTCATGGAGTGGTGTCCAAGCTTACCTACTTTGGTTTGTTGTTTTTCTTGTAGGAACCTCTCCTGCTCCTTCTTAAAATCCCCCAGTATCGTCTGAAAGACAAACACCGCAACACAACCAAAATGGGTATAAGAAAATGCAAATTTCCAGCTGTTGAAATACAGTACTCCCAAGTCAAAGGCAAACGCAGTATCTATACAACAGCCATTACAGAAGTAGCCTGCTGCTGTCAATATCTCTCTGTGCACGCACCACATCAGATCTCCAAAGCCTGTTACTTTTGCACTAAAACTACAACTGAGTCTGAATTGAACTCTTTGACTTGGGGTGCACCAAGGGAAACGCAAGGAGAATGCAGGCAGTGTACAACCATAAGCCCTTCTTGATCACATACAGAGACACAACCTGAGGAAACAACGTTTTATGGTAGAAGTATTTTCTGCAGTTTCCCCCATGCGTCTGTGCGCGTGCACGGCTGAAGCAGCGAGGGGATCTCTCTACTCGCCCTGTCTATGATCGGATGTCCCTCCACAGATCTGCGGAGATTCTGGGCTGTCTCTGCCACCTTCCTGGAGGCTAAGGCGGCTGCACTGAACAGGTAGGCTGTGGAGAGAGGACAACAAGATCCAAAACCAAAGGTCAGAGGGAGGAGTCCGTTAAAGCAGAACGAGCTGTCTAGCACAACATCTCCACTGTCTAGTACACAGCACTGAAAAACAGCACTTTCCTGTCATGCGTATTGTCGGCATGGAAGACTGGGGGTTGCAATAAAAGGTGATAAGATGAATTAACTGCATTGATATAGTGCTTTTCATCCCAAGGTGCCTTACCACTTTACCAACACTGATGTGCTGCACTTGGTGATGTGCAGCAGCCATGCTGAGCCACCTACAGCCCCACTCCACTGCAGGTGGAATAGTGAGAAATGACTTCACCTATTGGAATAAGAGGACATTTAGGGAGCCCAGGCTGTGCAATCCCAGAGTGGAATTTAGCCAGGACACCAGGGTTAACATCCCTACTGTTAGGAATAATGCAAAGGTATTTTGAATGACCAAGCAGTCAGGACCTCAGTTTAACATCTCAGCTGAAGGATGTTTGCTACAGCCCAGTGTCCCTGGTTTCCAGTATCCTGGTACTGGGATATTGGTTTGGGATGTTCTGAACCAGAGTGCAAATTACCACCTACTGATCCACAACACCACCTGCAAAAACCCCTCCTCAGTATTAAGCAGCCTCAGTCTCCCTCAGCTGCTGTGATCTGGGTGCAGTATGTGGTGGCAATTTGGCTGAATTCATCTGGATCTCTTTCTGCACTCTACAAAATAGTTTTGGAAAACGATTTAAAAAAATACAAAAACACCGTCAGGTAAAGGGAAAAGTCTTCGA